ATTAATGAACAAAATAAAATACTCAATGATATAAATGTAATATACATAAATTGTGGTTTTAAATAAAATCATTTTAAACTTATTTTTATATTTTTTTTCTATACTAAAAGCCTTGGTGCGTGAAACAAGGCTTTGTGTGGGTGGGTCATGTAGGTGGTGTGTGGTAGGTGCATGACCTTGTAGGCGTGGGTGGGTCATGTGCGTGAAACGGACCCTTGTGTTTGGTGCGTGGGAAGTGCATGAACCGAGCCCTTGTGAGTGTGGGTCGTGCGTGGTTGGTGCGTGAACTTGTCCGCGTGTGTACGAGCATGTGGGTCGTGCGTGATCGGTGGCTGAACTTGTCCGCGTGTATACGGGCATGTGGGTCGTCCGTGACCTTGACTTTGACCTTGACCTTGGCACTGGAGGTTCTAAAAATAGATACCTTTCTCTCTTATCAGTGGCCTTGTCTTTGACCTTAACCTTGACCTTGCTAAAAATAGATTCTTATCAGTGGCCTTGACCTTGACACGTGGCGGTTCTAAAAATAGATCCTTATCTCTCTTATCAGTGGCCTAGTCCTTGTCTTTGACCTTAACCTTGACCTTGCTAAAATTAGATTCTTATCAGTGGCCTTGACCTTGACACGTGGCGGTTCTAAAAATAGATCCTTATCTCTCTTATCAGTGGCCTTGACCTTGACCTCTTATCTCTTATCAGTGGTCGAATATTGGCTTTGTTTATCTACTCACATGCTCTATAATTTTGTCTAAAATCAATTTTCTTGACCGGCCTCTTAAATTAATCGTAACACTTTTTTTAGTTATAGTATCCACTATTCCCAACTTACGGCACAATCCGATCTACATTATATTTCCTTTTGGAATGGTAGAATGTTCTACTCGCTTACTAGAGGATGGGTCTCGAGGAGCTAGTCGAGCGGCGCTCTTCTTTGGACCTGGCAGCTGGCTGTATTTGCGGTTTTTTACCAAAAAATTTCAATCATCTGCTGCCCCTGGTAATCGCGTACACAGTCTTTCTGGTAATGCCTTGTTACACTCCGTTTTTATTTTTAAGTAATATTTGCTATTAAATTTAGTTATTAATTTCGAACCCTACCTCGTATAATATATTATCCTTATTTTGTGTCAATTAGTGCATTTCTTTATTCGTAACATTTCCTTTTCTATTATTCTCCTTTAACTACATTAATATAATACATATAATTTAACATAATTCCGTAATTAATTGATTTGTTTATTTTTGTAATCATGCCTATGTTCTAATTACTACCAGTTGTCAAATTTATTGTTAGATTAATAAGTTGGCTTTGTCCTGTGCAGTCAGTGCGCTCTGTTCCGAATTGCTCGGATAACAGGCGATAACTGTGGTCTTGGTTCGAGTGGTTCTGCTCCGGTCCGCATGCAGCCAACGTCGAATGGGATTACCTTTTTTTTATTGATTAGGGGTTTTTGTTTTGGTGATATTAGATTCTAATATGTAAATATTATATTATTACTGTTATTAGGGTTATTGTAAATTTGTAATTAGTGATTTTAAGTAACGTTATCTACCGTGCACCTGTCAAGGTAACGTGGGCTGAATAGGTCTACCTTTAAAAGGCCATTATTTTTTTTTTTGGTACGAAGAGAGATGTCGATTGAAATTGGACAAATTTCGCCAGTAGTATAGCAAGCGGGAACCTGGGACCGATGGTAACATGTCCATCCAGTTCTACAAGATACCATCCACTTCTAGTCAAAGAAGTGACGATGCAGCCGAAGAATTGCCGAAGAATCGTCAATGACCAGAAGGGGTAGTAGTAGAGGAGTGTTCTTCAAGATACCATTCACTTCTAGTCAAAGAAGTGACGATGCAGCCGAAGAATCGCCGAAGAATCGTCAATGACCAGAAGGGGTAGTAGTAGAGGAGTGTTCTTCAAGATACTATCCACTTCTAGTCAAAGAAGTGACGATGCAGCCGAAGAATCGCCGAAGAATCGTCAATGACCAGAAGGGGTAGTAGTAGAGGAGTGTTCTTCAAGATACCATCCACTTCTAGTCAAAGAAGTGACGATGCAGCCGAAGAATCGCCGAAGAATCGTCAATGACCAGAAGGGGTAGTAGTAGAGGAGTGTTCTTCAAGATACCATCCACTTCTAGTCAAAGAAGTGACGATGCAGCCGAAGAATCGCCGAAGAATCGTCAATGACCAGAAGGGGTGGTAGTAGTAGAGGAGTGTTCTTCAAGATACCATCCACTTCTAGTCAAAGAAGTGATGATGCAGCCAAAGAATCGCCAAAGAATGATCATTGACCAGAAGAGGTAGTAGTAGAGGAGTGTTCTTCAAGATACCATCCACTTCTAGCCGAAGAAGTGATGACGCGGCCGAAGAATCGTCAATGACCAGAAGGGGTAGTAGTAGAGTGTGATAGAAGAAAAATAAGAGACGTATAAAATGTTTTGTGGTATTAGGCGAACAGAAAATTTAGAAAGTAAATGATTGCACCAAATGTTTAACTTTAAAAATTTTTGTTAGATGGTGGTGGTAGATACTGATGAGACTAGCCTAGCCGAGCCTCTACTCAACAGTAGAGCCTGGCCTGATGAAATGACACACAAAAGTATTTGTTAAAAAAAAATGTATTTAAAAACTTTGCAATTCTTTTTCTTATAACGTTTGACAGTAATAATTAAATGTAATAACGTTGTACCACATGTTTAATTTGATCCAATTCCAGTACTTGTTAGTGCACTCATCCATCCACCGTGAATATTGGTAATTATTTTCCATAACATCCCAATCCTCTTCTGTTTGAGGTTGTGCCTGGTAAAGTTGAAAATGTTGTGATTTACAATTGGTAACAACGTCTTCTTTAATTTGTAGAAGATTCTCCTTATTAACAATGGGACAATTGATTCGTGGCTAAAAACAAAAAAAAATGTTATTTATTTAAGTATTACGTTAAGGATAATTGCTCACCTCTGTGAAATTTTAATGATGAAAAGTAACATTTTCAATAATTAGGAATTTGAAGGTATTGTTTCATTGCAATAAAGATAATTTGGTTCGTTCTGAATGCAAAGAGATATTTCACAGAAACAAAAAAATTTTCTACAGTTGTTACACCAAATACTTCCATATAGTTTGTTTAAATAACATTCTGTAGGTAGTTGGATGGGTTTTATTCGTTTTGCTGTTTTATTGCTTTTTAAATGTTGAAAACGTGTTCGATTTTTTAATACTTTATTCCATTTTTGTTGGATTTGAGACTACGAGAAAAAAAATTAATACAAACATTTACGTACCTAATAAGTTTATTGACTTACTTAATTTTATGGAATATCAACAATACCATCCATGATAGATTAATAGTAGATTAATTAAGCCAAAAAAAAAAAAACATTTACTTAGGTATAATGATTCTTTAAAAATTTTTTACTTTACTTATCATTGAAGCCCCAGGGCAACGTATCAGTGTGAATATAATCAACCATTCTCTTATCATCATATGGACTCAATGCTACTTTTCTTTGTGACAAAGTGTAGACATCATGTTTTTTAGAAATAATTGAATGCTGAACAAGTTTAATTGTGGTTTTATTAAATAAACTTGTATAATAATCCTCATATGTTAATTCCTTTATAGCTGCCTTTTTTATTCCCTTTGACTTTTTAATTAGATTTTCTGAATTATTTTTCATTACTTTAAAAGCATACATTTTAGATCTAAGACCAATAAAATGGGTCATTATTTGTCCTTTGTTTTCATCTTTCATTAATCCTAAAGCTTTTTTATTTCTTAAAGGAATATTATACGCATTATTTTCAGTGTATTCAGATGTATCAAATTTATGTATGACATCCCGAATATGTTGGTAAATATTATCAATATTAAACTTATAAATTAGACTGTCAGTCACTGTATAGCAATATTGCTCGTTCTTGAAATTTTTCCTTTACATAGTCATAATTAAAATCGTAGAGGAAAGTCTTAGATATATCCAAAATACACATACCCAAGAAAATTGGTTTATTAAAATTAATCTTTTGTTTTTTCATTTCAATTACAACGGTATTTTTATCAAAAATAGTACAGCTATGGAAATTTGGTTGAGAAATATAATAGTTTGCCCCGTATCGTCCAGACCATCTATTCACCATCTTAATATCTTTATATTTCATAACGTTTTCGATAGTTTTGCCGTAAGGGGCATTAATAAATAATTTATATAAATTTTTTTCAAATTCATTCTTACTTTTTTTTCTTAATTCAATGTTTATATCAATGTATTTTTTTAACCACTGAGACTGTTCAAATAGCTTGTCCTATTATTTCTGAACATTTTCTAATAAACATTGTTAAGAGAATTATTTATTTCTAACTGTATTAATTGAAAATAATTAACTTAACCTATTACTGTAATTCATTCATTCTTCCTCATCTACAACTATTAAATTAATACTACAAATCAATTCTTATACAGATATGATAATCGATTTGAAATATAACATATTATTTACATAAGTAAATATAGCAATTTTCCCTACCTACAACTTATATTCTACATCAATTAGGTACTACAAAATTGTCACTTGGTAAAGTTCAAAAATTTTAAAACTAAATGTGAAATATATGCTATGTTTACTTATGTCTTGTAAAAAAGTTCTATCTGTAATGATAACACAGGTCCACAAAAAAAAGTGGTCGTGCTGGGTGTTCGACAAAGATTTTCCGACGTATTTTTTACCGCTGAACACGAATCTGAAGTCAAAATTGGGGGTCAAACTGCAAAAAACGGAGAAAAATTAAAAAAAACCGATAAGATCAATTATCTAATATTTTTTCCTGTATGATCATAACAATCTTATAATTTCTGTCGTTTCCTGGCCCTTTTCTCCTCAAATGACATGTGCAACGGATTTCTGCTACGCTTTTTACCTCTCTGTTGAGTTACTCTTTGTAGCATCCAGCAGTAATCTGCAAACATATTTACTCACCACTGTCCCTGAAATCGCCGTTAAAATTCTTTAAGATCTTGATGGAATCTCTCTCCTTGCTCTTCACTAAAGTCTCCGTTGTTCTCCGGAAAGTGGTTGAGATGCGAATCAAGAAAGTGAAGTTTCAAATTCATTAGGCAACCTGAACGCTGAAAGTTTGCGATCATATTGGCCACAATATTTTCGTAATCAGCGTCCTTAGTGTTACCTAAAAATTTGGTGCACACTTCCTTAAAACTTAGCCATGATGCTTTTTCTTGGTCATCCATAACAGAAACGAATGCTTCATCTTTGAATAACGTCCGGATTTCCGGTCCATCAAAGATGCCTTCTTTCAATTTCGCATCTGATTTGTGCTTAAACACTTGACACAGGTATGTAAAGCACTCTCCATCTTTATCAAGAGCTTTAACAAACTGTTTTATTAACCCGAGTTTAATATGAAGAGGAGGAATGAGAATTTTGGCTGGATCAACAAGCGGTTTTCTTATTATATTATGTGATCCAACCCTAAATGAAGATCTCGAAGGCCAAACTTTTTTGACGTAGTGATTTTTGCGATCCCTACTGTCAAACATACACAAATAGCATGGATACTTCGTGAATCCAGATTGTTGTTCAAGGATCATGGACAAAATCTACAAATCACCACATACTTGCCATTTATGTTCTTCATACTTAATTTTTTTCAGGACACTTTCTAGATTTGTGTACTCTTCTTTAAGTACAGTTGAATGAGCTAAAGGTAGAGGAGCAAACTTTTTGGTGTTGTGAAGAAGAACTGCCTTAAGACTGCGTTGAGACGAGTCAATGAATACGCCAATCTTCAGGTTTATATAAATTTGGCTTTAATTCATCGACAAGTCCTTTCACATCAGTGCAATAAAGCAATTCTTCCTCTTTTTCAAAATATTTACGGAAAGCTTCCTCTCGATTCCGATAAAATGAAACTTTGGTACCTTTTGTCAGAAGATTTCTCCTTTTCATACTCGAAGCCAATATTTCAGCCGCTTCTTTCGAGAGTTTAGCTTCTCTAAATAAATCATTTAGATGTTTTTGGTCATATTTTCTGGCTTTTTCTCTTCACCGATCGGCCTGTACTCTTCATCACTGCTCGAAGGAACTTTTTCATCAGGTTCACTGAAATCGGATTCACTGCCAGTAGCAGACTATTCGTCATTAAGAGCTACATTCTCAGGATCGACGTCGACTTCCATTGTATCGAATCCACTGGTCAGGCTGTCTTGTAAAGTGTATCATCTTCTGAATCTTCTATAAACTTTGCAACTGGTTGTTGCACACTTGATACAGAAGAATAAGAAATTTTGTCCTTATGGATTCGGCCCGCAGTCTCAACTTTTGTCGTGCAAAAGTAGCAATCACTTGCACCGAAAGGCTTCTTCCATATAGCTGGAGTTTTAAATTTAAGTTTCTCCTTGTTCTGATGCTTCTCAAATCGGTTAACCATATTATAGCATGAACCACAAACATTAGGTATCCAATTTTTCAAATTGAGAGAAACTTCCATATTGAAACACTTTTCATACAAAGTCACAAACCTATCTGTGAGTTTCTTTGTATTTTTCATCCCAATGTATTTTGCACAAACGTAGCAAAAGAGATTAGGATTTTTTAGAACACTCATGATCGTCATGAGTACTAGAAGATCCAGCTAAATTTTGAGTAGAAGAAGCATAACAATCCATTAAAATAAACAAACCCCGCACGCTAGAATACCTGGCCCGATCGCAGGTGAGTCAGCCGCCCTAGGGGTGATAACCCTCATACCTCCCCAGGCCTAAGTATGAGGGCTTTCCGACTTTGACGAGGACAATGTCAACTCGTCGTCGGACACACTACGGCATCATTCTCATATTCTAGAGCTTCCCTGCAAAACAGCGCGCCTTCGCTGGCTTCGATACCACGAAATGTTGACTAGCGAATCATTCTACACATCCCATTAAAGGGCAGTTGTCATCGTAGTCCAAACACTCCGTGGTAGCAGGTTTTTGCCGGTACATGTACCGATTCAATGTCCTGACGTTATATTTTAGATCAAAGACAAAATTCATTCGATAAAAGACTTCAATAAGACACAATAAGTCGCAAATAAACATATTTGCGAATCACTGATGGATACTACAGAGAGAAACAGAACAGAAACTGCAAATTGATCATAACATACTGAAAATACTATTAGATTATTGATTTTATCGGTTATTTTATTTTTCTCCGTTTTTTGCAGTTTGACCCTCAATTTTTACTTCAGATTCGTGTTCAGCGGTAAAAAATACGTCGGAAAATCTTTGTCGAACACCCAGCACAGACCACTTTTTTTTGTGGACCTGTGTAATTATTTTTTTGCAACAATTTTTAAAAACGTCAGTAATCGAACCAAAGAAACAATTTCACATAAGAAAGTACTCACAGTTTGTTATCTCTAATTTCAGTAGGTATATTATTGCATGACTGTGCAACTCCAGTTGCTGCCGATATTGTCCAATTTTTGCCCTTTGTTCAAATCCTGGATCCAATTTGTCTTACCGCATATATTTTACTACTAAGGCTTTATGACTCTTTATATTTACATTACTTGCAATGACTTTGCTTATTTAACAAGCCTTTTATATTATATTTAACTAAATTTTACTTTATACAATTCTTTTCTTCAACATTTTTCTTGACGTTATTTTCTTTCAAAAGAACCCGTCACAACCTCGTTTATCCCTAGCAACCCTTAATGTATATTTTTTACTGTATTTACGTTATGTACTATTCTCATTTTATTTGATAACAAATTTCATAAATATTATTAGTATTTCACAGTGCCACTTTAGGAACAGCACTGTTAATTAGAACCCAACAGTGAATGGTCGAGTGGAGAATCCTACCAAGGCAACAGAATTAATTTTAAATTATTAAATTAAATAAACAAATCCCGGCCAACGGGGGGATTCGAACCTGGGACCCTTGGATCCGCAGGCAGAGACTCTACCACTGAGCCACACATTATTCATATTATTAATAATTATTTTATTTTTAAGCTATATCATTTTCATTACAATATATCGTTGGCTTACTGCCAAAATTGACCAAGTCAGATAAACAAATTTTTGAGATAAACAGTTTTAAATTAAACTAGTGACCTACCATCAAATGTTACTAGCTCTAGTCTTCATAGTTTCTAGCTTAGTCAATTTTTCCAGATATAGAGTAAATATTTTTATGTAAGTAAATATATATAGAAGGGTAGTCTTTGCTGACTAGTTAGGTAAAATTTAACTAAGTTCTTGGGGATAGCAGCAAAAGGTTTTAAGTGAAACTCTATAAAGAATTACCAAGCTTTCGGAATTTATTAATCAATTCCATCATCAGGGATCTACAATAAATCGAGGTGTCAATGATAAAAAATTAAAATTCATTACAAAAAAGTTACTTACATCTTTGTGAGGGTGAAACCATTGATGTTAAATCTGAAATTGAATAGAAACATTTACGTTATTCGACATTAAGACAAATAATAAAACTTCTTGCCTAAGATTATAACACAATTTAACACATTAAAATTTATAAAAATGTTCGTCACATGTGGCCACATACTTTGATTGTCTTTACTATACGGCGCAAGAGAGAGGTCCGACACGCCCAACATAGGGTGCGGCCATTTTGACTCCTTTACTACTATGTTAGGCAACACATATTTATCCAAAATGTTAAACTGGTAACCTACCTCTTGATATTTTGAGATTTTAAGTGAAGGCAACAAATGTACTAGAAGAAACGTTTATTTATTTTAAATAATATACAAGAAACTTCTTTGAAGTAAAGTTGTAATTTCGAGTGCATTTTGAAATAGAGGTGAGTAATTATCCTTCCTCCATGGAGGTGAGTGGTTTTAAATTATTTCTAAAGCTGTGCATATGATTTTACCTTAATATGTTATTTTTCGCCATTTTATTTTTGTAATATAATAAAAATATTTGAGGCTAAACAATCTAATATTACCTATAAAGTAATGTAAGAAAAAAGAAGCTCTAAAAGATATTACCAGAGGAATTAGTATACTTTTGCAGGCAAACTGCAACAATTTATATAAAAAGGACACTTTTATTTATACCCTCTAGAAGTTCAAGCAAAGAAATGGTGAAAATTCAGGAAAGGAAATCGAATGTAAAAAAAATTCAAATATGGTAGTAAAGAAGAACTTTTGGTTGAGTATCTACAAATCAGTATGGTTTAAAAACTATGCTCAAGTGATATCTTTAGGATACAAGTTATGCCAAATATATAATATACACAGAATGTTCTAACTCTACTTTTGAGAGGTTACAGCTTCCTCAGAATAAGACAATGAAAGCTATTTTAGGATGTAGCAGATATAGCATTCAGCTTATGCTGACTACGTTGAACTGGTTGAATATGGGACAGTTCTATGTTCGGGCAATGACCTTTATTTTTAAAATAGAAAATAATGTATTGAATATTTCTTACATCAGCCATACAAGAGCTGCGAATTCTATTAATTTTTTATAACAAGTGTTATAACAAGTAGAAAGGCTGAGTTCAAATTAATCAATTATCTCATGATATAAAATCCTTTTAAAAAGCTAAATTATTTTAAGAGTAATTAGTTATGTTAAAACTTTCAGCTAAGTCCTCTTGTGTGTTTGTGTTATTTTGTCATCACTTATTTTTTTATTATGTATTTATTTTCAAATACTCTATACTTTTGTAAATTTATGTAGGTATCTTCTTATTTTTTTGTATGAATTAAATATAATCTATTTTTATGTTATTTTTTTTTTACTTGAAAATATGTGTATATCAGTCATAAATAGTTTTTTTTTTATTTACAATACACATCATAGTTATACCTACTAAAAATATGTCAAATGTGTCCTCACTCCCCTATGTACTTTTACAAATGAGTCAAGAAATAAAATATATTATTTAAAAAAATTAAAGGTCTATAGTCAGCGTGCCATAAGTCCATAACTCATTAAAGTTACTATGGATCAATAATTTAATGTTTATTAGCAAAAGTAAAAATATACAATAAATTATTTTTAACAATTCAATATAGACTACTGATTAACTCGAGTAGGTACCATAATTGAGATTGACCGTCGTTACGAGCAGTTGGATAAAGGAGTAGGCAGTTTGAGACCTTTAACCCAACCGTTTAAGACAATCGTTTTTAGTGCCGGGGATGGTATTTTATACCGGAACCGCCTAACTACATTGTAGTTCGCGATCGTGTTTTCAATTCGAGAGTTTAATCTAAGTGCGGATGTTTATTTTAAAATAGAGTGACGCGTTTATACCCGAGTGACAAAAGTGTTAAGTGCTAAAAATTAGAATCGAAGAAGGACACTATGTGCCTCTAGTTAAATACAAAGTGAAAGGAACATATACCTGAACCACTGCATGGAGACAGACCCACAAGGATAGACCCATCAAGGATAGGTAAGAAATTTTTAATTTCTGAGTGCGATTTTCCTATTTTGCTACCGAATGACCACAAATATTTACATTTTTATATTTTGATATACTGACATAACAAAAATCTTTTTAAAAAATTTTTTTTTAAATAATAACAAAGCGATTGGTAAAATAAAAACACTTAAAA